AGAATGAGCTACAGCTGTGGTTTAAGGTCTATGTCCTGAGGTACAGTGCGTTTCACTGTCATTAGACTGTGCCCTGGGGTACAGAGCTTTACACTGTCCTTACACTGTGCCCTGGGGTACAGAGCTTTACACTGTCATTAAACTGTGCCCTGGGGTACAGTGCTTTTCACTGTCATTACACTGGACCCTGGGGTACAGAGCTTTTCACTGTCCTTACACTGTGCCCTGGGGTACAGTGCTTTACACTGTCATTACACTGTGCCCTGGGGTACAGTGCTTTACACTGTCATTACACTGTGCCCTGGGGTACAGAGCATCTCCCTCGTTGTATCCCATCTACCTCAACCACACTCCCAGGGTAAAGAGGAACCCCCACAATAACACAACTCTCCCACAGAGAACAAGAGTCCCATACAGTGACTCACTCTCCCACGGTACACAAGAGTACACAGTCACTCTCCCACGGTACACAAGAGTCCCACAGTCACTCTCCCACGGTACACAAGAGAGCTACACTTACTGTGGGACTGAGAGAGCTCTACAGTCTCAAGCTCTCACTTAATTATGCATTTAATACCAAGTTTGCCTCGAACAACGACCCTCTGAACGGCGTCCCAACTGAAGCATATATATATAAATATATATATATATATATATATATATATATATATATATATATATATATATATATATATATATATATATATATATATATATATGCGAACAAGCCTGAATGGTCCCCAGGACTATATGCGAATGAAAACTCACACCCCAGAAGTGACTCGAACCCATACTCCCAGAAGCAACACAACTGGTAACTACAGGGCGCCTTAATCCGCTTGACCATCACGGCCGTCAAAAGGAAGTGATAGCCGAGGCTATTTGAGCCACTTCCCCGACGGCAACTCGGATGGTAATCTTGGGCATAGCATTTCACCAAATCACCTCATTCTTTGGGGCACACGTGAGGAACACAAATGCGAACAAGCCTGAATGGTCCCCAGGACTATATGCGAATGAAAACTCACACCCCAGAAGTGACTCGAACCCATACTCCCAGAAGCAACACAACTGGTAACTACAGGGCGCCTTAATCCAGTTGTGTTGCTTCTGGGAGTATGGGTTCGAGTCACTTCTGGGGTGTGAGTTTTCATTCATATATATATATATATATATATATATATATATATATATATATATATATATATATATATATATATATATATAATATTGGTGGTGGCACTGATAATAATAATTGTGGTGGCACTGATAATAATGGTGGTGGTGTCACTAATAATGGTGGTGGTGGCACTGATAATAATGGTGGTGGTGGCACTGATAATAATGGTGGTGGCACTGATAATAATGGTGGTGGCACTGATAATAATGGTGGTGGCACTGATAATAATGGTGGTGGCACTGATAATAATGGTGGTGGCACTGATAATAATGGTGGTGGTGGCACTGATAATAATGGATGGCACTGATAATGGTGGTGGTGGCACTGATAATAATTGTGGCGGCACTGATAATAATGGTGGCACTGATAATAATGGTGGTGGTGGCACTGATAATAATTGTGGCGGCACTGATAATAATGGTGGCACTGATAATAATGGTGGTGGCACTCGTAATAATGGTGGTGGCACTGATATGGTGGTTGGCACTGATAATACTGGTGGTGGCACTGATAATGGTGGTGGTGGCACTGATAATAATGGTTGGTGGCACTGATAATAATGGTGGTGGTGGCACTGGTAATAATGGTGGGTGGCACTGGTAATGGTGGTGGTGGTGGCACTGATAACAATGGTGGGTGGCACTGATAATTGTGGTGGCACTGATGATAATGGTGGTGGCACTGATAATAATGGTGGTGGTGGCACTGATAATAATGGTGATGGCACTGATAATAATGGTAGTGGTACTGATAATAATGGTGGTGGTGGCACTGGTAATAATGGTGGGTGGCACTGATAATTGTGGTGGCACTGAAGATAATGGTGGTGGCACTGATAATAATGGTGGTGGTGGCACTGATAATAATGGTGGTGGCACTGATAATAATGGTGGTGGCACTGATAATAGTGGTGGCACTGATAATAATGGTGGTGGCACTGATAATAATGGTAGTGGTACTGATAATAATGGTGGTGGTGGCACTGGTAATAATGGTGGTGGCACTGATAATAATGGTGGTGGCACTGATAATAATGGTGGTGGCACTGCTAATAATAGTGGTGGCACTGCTAATAATGGTGGTGGCACTGATAATAGTGGTGGCACTGATAATAATGGTGGTGGCACTGATAATAATGGTGGTGGTGGCACTGATAATGGTGGTGGTGGCACTGATAATGGTGGTGGTGGCACTGATAATAGTGGTGTGGCACTGGTAATAATGGTGGTTGTGGCACTGATAATAATGGTGGTGGCACTGATAATAATGGTGGTGGTGGCACTGATAATAATGGTGGTGGCACTGATAATAATAGTGGTGGCACTGATAATAATGGTGGTGGTATTGATAATAGTGGTGGTGGCACTGATAATAGTGGTGGTGGCACTGGTGGCACTGATAATGGTGGTGGCACTAATAATAATGGTGGTGGCACTGATAATAATGGTGGTGGCACTTGTAATAATGGTGGTGGCACTGGCAATAATGGTGGTGGCACTCGTAATAATGGTGGTGGAACTGATAATAATGGTGGTGGCACTGGTAATAATGGTGGTGGCACTGGTAATAATGGTGGTGGAACCGATAATAATGGTGGTGGCACTGATAATAATAGTGATGGCACTAATAATAATGGTGGCACTGATAATAATGGTGGTGGCACTGATAATAATGGTGGTGGTGGCACTGATAATAATGGTGGTGGTGGCACTCATAATTGTGGGCGGCACTGATAATAATGGTGGTGGCACTGATAATAATGGTGGTGGTGGCACTGATAATAGTGGTGGCTCTAATAATAATGGTGGTGGCACTCATAATTGTGGGCGGCACTGATAATAATGGTGGTGGCACTAATAATAATGGTGGTGGAACTGATAATAATGGTAGTGGCACTGATAATGGTGGCACTAATAATAATGGTGGTGGCACTCATAATTGTGGGCGGCACTGATAATAATGGTGGTGGTGGAACTGATAATAATGGTGATGGCACTGATAATAATGGTGGTGGCACTAATAATAATGGTGGTGGCACTGATAATAATGGTGGTGGTGGAACTGATAATAATGGTGATGGCACTGATAATAATGGTGGTGGTGGAACTGATAATAATGGTGATGGCACTGATAATAATGGTGGTGGCACTAATAATAATGGTGGTGGTGGCACTGATAATAATGGTGGTGGTGGAACTGATAATAATGGTGATGGCACTGATAATAATGGTGGTGGCACTAATAATAATGGTGGTGGTGGCACTGATAATAATGGTGGTGGTGGAACTGATAATAATGGTGATGGCACTGATAATAATGGTGGTGGCACTAATAATAATGGTGGTGGCACTGATAATAATGGTGGTGGCACTTGTAATAATGGTGGTGGCACTAATAATAATGGTGGTGGCACTGGTAATAATGGTGGTGGCACTGATAATAATGGTGGGTGGCACTGATAAAAATGGTGATGGCACTGATAATAATGGTGATGGCACTGATAATAATGGTGGCACTGATAATAATGGTGGTGGCACTAATAATAATGGTGGTGGCACTGATAATAATGGTGGTGGCACTGATAATAATGGTGGTGGCACTGATAATAATGGTGGTGGCACTGATAATAATGGTGATGGCACTGATAATAATGGTGGTGGCACTGATAATAATGGTGATGGCACTAATAATAATGGTGGTGGCACTGATAATAATGATGATGCACTGATAATAATGGTGATGGCACTGATAATAATGGTGGGTGGCACTGATAATAATGGTGATGGCACTGATAATAATGGTGATGGCACTGATAATAATGGTGGTGGCACTGATAATAATGGTGGTGGCACTGATAATAATGGTGGCACTAATAATGGTGGGTGGCACTGATAATAATGGTGATGGCACTGATAATAATGGTGATGGCACTGATAATAATGGTAATGGCACTGATAATAATGGTGGTGGCACTGATAATAATGGTGGTGGCACTGATAATAATGGTGGTGGCACTAATAATAATGGTGGTGGCACTGATAATAATGGTGGCACTGATAATAATGGTGGCACTGATAATAATGGTGGTGGCACTGATAATAATGGTGGTGGCACTAATAATAATGGTGGTGGCACTGATAATAATGGTGGCACTGATAATAATGGTGGCACTGATAATAATGGTGGTGGCACTGATAATAATGGTGGTGGCACTGATAATAATGGTGGTGGCACTAATAATAATGGTGGGTGGCACTGATAATAATGGTGATGGCACTGATAATAATGGTGGTGGCACTGATAATAATGGTGGTGGCACTAATAATAATGGTGGGTGGCACTGACAATAATGGTGGTGGCACTGATAATAATGGTGGTGGCACTGATAATAATGGTGGTGGCACTGATAATAATGGTGGTGGCACTAATAATAATGGTGGCACTAATAATAATGGTGGGTGGCACTGATAATAATGGTGATGGCACTGATAATAATGGTGGTGGCACTGATAATAATGGTGGTGGCACTAATAATAATGGTGGGTGGCACTGATAATAATGGTGGTGGCACTAATAACGTCATGGTGGTGGCACTAATAACGTCATGGTGGGTGGCACTGATAATAATAATGGTGGTGGCACTGATAATTGTGGTGGCACTGATAATGGTGGTGGCACTGATAATAATGGTGGTGGCACTGATAATAATGGTAGTGGCACTGATAATAATGGTGGTGGCACTGATAATTGTGGTGGCACTGATAATGGTGGTGGCACTGATAATGGTGGTGGCACTGATAATAATGGTGGTGGCACTAACAATAATAATAACGGTGGGCGGCGGCACTAACCTTGTCATTAAGGGCGGCGGCTGCGGCAGGGTTGGTGGTGGCAGGTGTGGGCGGCAGGTGGGCCCTGAAGGGTTGAGGGGCGGCGGCTGCGGCAGGAGGGGCGGCTGCGGCAGTGGGCGGCGCCGCTGGGTGGTGGTGGTGGTGGTGGTGGGCGGCGGCGGCGGCGTCTTCAGCGTGCAGGACCTCCATGAGGTAGGCGATGTAGGAGGTGGCGAGTCTTAGCGTCTTGATCTTGGAGAGCTTAGTGTCGGCGGGCACGTTGGGGATACACTCCCGCAGCTCCGCGAAGGCGTTGTTGATGCTCTGCGTCCGCCGACGCTCCTTCTTGTTGGCCGACGACCTCCGCTTCACCACACGACCACACCCGTCCACCATCTCGATGGTGTAGTCGCCGCCCAGGTCGTGCGGCGACCCCGGCCCCAGCACGAAGCCCCCAGATACCCCGTACTCCGGGCACGCCACCTCCGTCGTGTAGCCCGGCGAGTACCCCGAGGGGGTGTAGCCCCATCCTGGGTACAGCGTCTGCCCCGGGGGGCTCGGATGAGAGTAGTAGGGCGAGTATAGGGCCTCCGGGGACGAGGCGGCACCCATGGCGGCGTGGCCGTAACTCTGCGGCATGGAATATCCTCCGACGAGACTCATCGTCACTACCCACTGACCACAACTGCCCAAGGGTTCAACACCGAGTGCCAGACCTCGCGCCGACTCCCTCACTCCACCCACACCTCGGCATCGGAGCCCCGCCCACACGCGCCTATCATTGGTCCACATTTGACTTAAGCCCATACTACCCTCGCTTCCCATTGGTCCAGCTGCGGGTGAAGCCCCGCCCTAAAACGTGCGTTTCGGCGGGAGCCGGCCAATACGGAGGAAGGAGGCGGGGCCACGGAGTGACGTATGTGGGCGGCCATCACGATCTTTGTAACTCAATTACGGTAAATTGGTGGCCGTTCCCGACGCACTTTACCGGATTACGGGGCTCCGGCGGTGACTTAGGAAGCCGTAAGTCACGCCCCCGCCGCGCACTCCGCCGCTAAATTACCTCCCTTCAGATGACTGATTCTCAGGTCTGTTTGGTTAATAATTACGGCCCCCGGCACCGGCCCCCCCGGCCACCATCATGGTGTGCTGACGGAGTCTTTCCCGCCCCCTGGGACCCCACTGGTGACCTGGGACCCCACTGGTGACCTGGGACCCCACCTGGACCCCACTGGTGACCTGGGACCCCACTGGTGACCTGGGACCCCACTGGTGACCTGGGACCCCACTGCTGACCTGGGACCCCATTGGTGACCTGGGACCCCACTGGGGACCTAAGACCCCACTGGTGACGTGGGACCCCACTGGTGACCTAGGACCCCACTGGTGACCTTGGACCCTACTGGTGACCTGGGACCCCACTGGTGACCTAGGACCCCACTGGTGACCTAGGACCCCACTGGTGACCTGGGACCCCACTGGGGACCTGGGACCCCACTGGGGACCTGGGACCCCACTGGGGACCTGGGACCCCACTGGGGACCTGGGACCCCACTGGTGTGACCTGGGACCCCACTGGTGTGACCTGGGACTCCACTGGTGACCTGGGACCCCACTGGTGACCTGGGACCCCACTGGTGACCTGGGACCCCACTGGTGTGACCTGGGACCCCACTGGTGTGACCTGGGACCCCCACTGGTGACCTGGGACCCCACTGGTGACCTGGGACCCCACTATTGACCTGGGACCCCACTGGTGACCAGGAACCTCCACTGGTGACCAGGGACCTCCACTGGTGACCAGGGACCTCCACTGGGGACCAGGGACCTCCACTGGGGACCTGCTACTCAACACGACACAATGCTCATGTTAGCCGCCACTTGAGCGCCAATTGCTCCCTCTCCACTTCCAGCTAGTTGTTAATTAGCCCCAAACTCCACCAATTTAGTCAGGTACAGAGAAGTTTGGTAGTGAGGTTTAGGTAATTAGGTTACCCTGAACCTTCCGCAGACAGTAATGGATGGCTTCACCGGCGAGGTTTCCACCACCCGTACAGGCTTCCTGTCACCCTCTGGAGGACTGAGAAGGGACCTCCCTGAACTTGACGTCTGACGTGTCCAAAGTTCCAGAGTAGAACTAGTTCCAAAGTTCCAAAGTAGTTAGAATTGTACAACGGAAGAATTGTATTCTAAACGGCTGGTTTCATGGAGCCTAAGTTCAATTCAAATTGAAGAACGTTTATTGAGACACTGAGATACAAAATGATAGAGTAGCTTAGGCTATGTTTATCGTCTCATCCTGGAGCTTCAAATTCTAAATTTCAAGTTATTATTTAAAAACTAAATTTACTACCAAATTTATTACCGAAACAAAATTTGAAAATTTCAGGAGGCTATTAAACAACTTTGAATTATCGCTAAAAACATTTTATTCACATAAAAATACATACATGTGATACAAGATACAGTGCAGAATTCATACATAATAAATGTATAATACATACAGCCACTAAATACACAGAACTGGACCAACGAGACTGTTATGATCGCGTTACAACAGCCTGACAGAGGGATACTATACACACGCAGTATACCTCCCTGTATTGGTGTATATACACTGGAAGTTTACTTAGTCCTGTACTCTGCTCATGACTCACTGGTAGCTCAGTGTGTCGCCTTAATAACCCTCCATAGTTAGTTAGTTAGGCGTCAAGCCCAACAACCTGATGGGTCAGGGTACCATCTACAAGATGCTACAGGAACACTACAAGATGCTACAGGAACACTACAAGATGCTACACTAACACTACAAGATGCTACAGGAACACTACAAGATGCTACAGGAACACTACAAGATGCTACACTAACACTACAAGATGCTACACTAACACTACAAGATGCTAAAGGAACACTACAAGATGCTAAAGGAACACTACAAGATGCTACAGGAACACTACAAGATGCTACAGGAACACTACAAGATGCTACAGGAACACTACAAGATGCTACAGGAACACTACAAGATGCTACACTAACACTACAAGATGCTACAGGAACACTACAAGATGCTAAAGGAACACTACAAGATGCTACAGGAACACTACAAGATGCTACAGGAACACTACAAGATGCTACAGGAACACTACAAGATGCTACAGGAACACTACAAGATGCTACAGGAACACTACAAGATGCTAAAGGAACACTACAAGATGCTACAGGAACACTACAAGATGCTACAGGAACACTACAAGATGCTACACTAACACTACAAGATGCTACAGGAACACTACAAGATGCTAAAGGAACACTACAAGATGCTACAGGAACACTACAAGATGCTACAGGAACACTACAAGATGCTAAAGGAACACTACAAGATGCTACACAAACACTACAAGATGCTACAGGAACACTACAAGATGCTACAGGAACACTACAAGATGCTACACTAACACTACAAGATGCTACACTAACACTACAAGATGCTACACTAACACTACAAGATGCTACACTAACACTACAAGATGCTACACTAACACTACAAGATGCTACACTAACACTACAAGATGCTACACTAACACTACAAGATGCTACACTAACACTACAAGATGCTACACTAACACTACAAGATGCTACAGGAACACTACAAGATGCTACACTAACACTACAAGATGCTACACTAACACTACAAGATGCTACACTAACACTACAAGATGCTACACTAACACTACAAGATGCTACAGGAACACTACAAGATGCTACACTAACACTACAAGATGCTACACTAACACTACAAGATGCTACACTAACACTACGAGATGCTACACTAACACTACAAGATGCTACAGGAACACTACAAGATGCTACACTAACACTACAAGATGCTACACTAACACTACAAGATGCTACACTAACACTACAAGATGCTACAGGAACACTACAAGATGCTACACTAACACTACAAGATGCTACAGGAACACTACAAGATGCTACACTAACACTACAAGATGCTACAGGAACACTACAAGATGCTACACTAACACTACAAGATGCTACACTAACACTACAAGATGCTACACTAACACTACAAGATGCTACACTAACACTACAAGATGCTACAGGAACACTACAAGATGCTAAAGGAACACTACAAGATGCTACAGGAACACTACAAGATGAACACTACACTACAAGATGCTACAGGAACACTACAAGATGCTACAGGAACACTACAAGATGCTACACTAACACTACAAGATGCTACAGGAACACTACAAGATGCTACAGGAACACTACAAGATGCTACACTAACACTACAAGATGCTACAGGAACACTACAAGATGCTACACTAACACTACAAGATGCTACAGGAACACTACAAGATGCTACAGGAACACTACAAGATGCTACACTAACACTACAAGATGCTACAGGAACACTACAAGATGCTACACTAACACTACAAGATGCTACAGATGCTACACACTACAAGATGCTACAGGAACACTACAAGATGCTACAGGAACACTACAAGATGCTACACTAACACTACAAGATGCTACACTAACACTACAAGATGCTACACTAACACTACAAGATGCTACAGGAACACTACAAGATGCTACAGGAACACTACAAGATGCTACACTAACACTACAAGATGCTACAGGAACACTACAAGATGCTACACTAACACTACAAGATGCACTACACTACAAGATGCTACACACTACAAGATGCTACAGGAACACTAACACTACAAGATGCTACACTAACACTACAAGATGCTACACTAACACTACAAGATGCTACACACTACAAGATGCTACACTAACACTACACAGGAACACTACAAGATGCTACACTAACACTACAAGATGCTACACACTACAAGATGCTACAGGAACACTACAAGATGCTACACTAACACTACAAGATGCTACAGGAACACTACAAGATGCTACACTAACACTACAAGATGCTACAGGAACACTACAAGATGCTACAGGAACACTACAAGATGCTACACAACACTACAAGATGCTACAGGAACACTACAAGATGCTACAGGAACACTACAAGATGCTACAGGAACACTACAAGATGCTACAGGAACACTACAAGATGCTACACTAACACTACAAGATGCTACAGGAACACTACAAGATGCTACAGGAACACTACAAGATGCTACAGGAACACTAAGATGCTACAGAACACTACAAGCTACAGGAACACTACAAGATGCTACACTAACACTACAAGATGCTACACTAACACTACAAGATGCTACACTAACACTACAAGATGCTACAGGAACACTACAAGATGCTACACACTAACACTACAAGATGCTACAGGAACACTACAAGATGCTACACTAACACTACAAGATGCTACAGGACAAGATGCTACAGGAACACTACAAGATGCTACAGGAACACTACAAGATGCTACAGGAACACTACAAGATGCTACACTAACACTACAAGATGCTACAGGAACACTACAAGATGCTACAGGAACACTACAAGATGCTACAGGAACACTACAAGATGCTACAGGAACACTACAAGATGCTACAGGAACACTACAAGATGCTACACTAACACTACAAGATGCTACAGGAACACTACAAGATGCTACACTAACACTACAAGATGCTACAGGAACACTACAAGATGCTACAGGAACAC